TGAGCAATACACAGAGATTTTTATTATGCCCCAGGCTCAGGGAGGGATCCTCAGGAGGATTCAAAGAGCTTCACCCTTCCTCCCTAACCAGCCTGCAAATTGTTGTTTCATGGAACTTCCAGTCTGTCCCTGACAGCCAACCACCTATCTGGAACTTAGGATAACATTCCATTTCCACATGGAAAAGTCCTAATTGATAAATCCAGTGTGATCACCACTGTAGTCCTTAGATGCACAATGTATGGGTAATTAAGCAGTACTAAGAAAAGAAAGAATTGGTTTATTTATCCCCAGTTGCCTAAAAATGACATAAAGAAGTATCATTTTTCAAAAGATAAAAGTGATTTATACAAAGTGAAATTATTTGCCCAAAGCTGCCGTATTAAAAATGATGGATGCCAGGATGCGGGCTCACTCTGAGACACTGCCATATAGCTAAGAAGAACACAGCCAGCAAGCAGAAAATTGACATTTATGAGTCTGCACTCACTATTGTTAAAGCTTCAGTTTTTAGAACCCACACATTAAAGAAAAATTCCTTTTTAAGAATATTGACTTTTCCTTCTAAATGTGTGAATATGTCTATATGTGTCTGTATGGGTATGTGTATGTGTGTTTGAGCATGATTCTATGAGTATGTGTATGTGTTAGTGTGAGTATGTGTGCTTGAGTATGTATATATGTTTATTTGGGTGAGCATCAGACATTGGGCCTTGTATATATATGGGTGTACTCCACCACTGACCTATACCCTTCTCCCTCACAATGTTTTAGATTTACAAACAATGGTCATGTTTTCAGTGAATACACTAGATTTCTTAATTACCATTATTTTCTACTTGTCACTTCAAAAAAGTTATTGACAGTTTGATATGTGTTTATGGTCTGTGAATAGAAGATAGAAGATCATGGCACTAGTTTCTTCATGTAATAGATTTAATTATCTCTTTAATCATTTTAAAAACATATTTTTATTATTTTTAGGTGGTCTCCTGTCCTGAAATACTTCCTGAGGTCAGAAAAGGGCGTAGATTCTCCTGGAACTGGAGTTATAGATACTTGTTAGCTGTCATATGGTTGTGGGGAATTAATCCCAGCCATCTGCAAGAGTAAGCAGTGCTCATAACCACTGAGCTATCTCCCCAACCCGGAAATAACTTTTTCCAAAGTCCACACCACATTCGCTAGCAAGAAGAAGCACAATAATGGATTTATTATTTGAGGTTCTGAAGACAGGCTGTGAAAGCACTGAATTTAGTTCTGCATTGATTGATTCGTTCACATGGTGAATCCTTCATTTAATGTTCAATTTATTCATCTATTCAGAATAACCAGAATAAGACCTACTTTGGTTAAATGAAATGAGGAATAAATAAAAACATGAATATTAAGAGCTTAGCACAGTGTTTGATATACAGTCAAGCTCACAAATGTTTACTTTTACAACTAAGTCTGTCAGAGTGTAAGGTTAAACAGAACATTATTTTAATTTTCCCTTTGACATATAAAAGTCTTACCATGTCACCCATCATTCAGCCCATTATTCTGTGCTATTTGTGTTCTAATGTCAAGCAGATTATGTCCACTCTCTATATATTAAAAGTTAATTCACCTATGCAGCATCTTTACCACTCTTTATCAGGTGGGCCCTGACTCAACCCTCTCTCACATGTACTTAACTCCATGAAATGCATACTCAGTCCTTTGTTTTACTTTGCATCTCACCTTGGCAGGGTTTGCAGCCTGTATGTCTCCCAAATTAGAACCCAGGACCTTGGCTAAATCCTCATCTAGATCCCAAGAACCATTTGCCTTTTGGAGAGAAATCAGCTGCACAACACCATTTTCTCCAATAGCTTTGAAACCAAAGAAAAAAATAAAGATGAAAAATGATAAATCCTTGGCCTCTTGGTCTCCCCCAGGAAGACTACTGAAATAAGAAACAGCTTATAGTGAAAATTTTTCAGGGGAAAAGTCCACAGACTTTATCTAATCTGTGAACAGTGGCCAGTGAAGCTGGATTCCAAAGAAGATACCAGCAGATTCTGCCCAGGCCAGGCCCTGAATAGACGTGGACTGTGTGTGCAGAGATGGCCAAGGGGCTACCCCATTCAGGAACACTGGACGGTATCAAGTACTGTATTATAGATTAAGGAAGCTACACTCATCCTGGCAGATATAGGGATAAGACAATTTCACTACTTCTTTGAGTTTCACATACATAATCTCCTAGGTAGAGAAAACTGCAAGACAAAAGAAAACTGAAGATTCGGCCATAATTCCCATATAACAGAGGAACAATTTTGGCTCATATCACCTTTTTGGTAGTTTTGCAAGTTGGTGGTATTGTTAGAAGAAAATGTCTCTCCCATCACTTCATAAAACATCCCACAATCCATTCTCACACCTGAATTGAATCTGGGAATGTACATAGTTCAGAACCTGTGACAAAAAATGCTACTGAGAAAACTTGTCCTGGAAAGTACCTCCCTCAGACTATAGAAGCACAGTGATTCTTACACAAATGGGGATCCTGACTGTTTAGTTCACAGTCCATGACATCATCATAGTACTCATCACCATTTGTACATGAATTGATAGGACACATGGAGTACGAGCATCCTGAAAAATATAAATCCCACGTAAAGTCAGGGTAATCCCCGTTTTTCAACAGCACACAAAGACTAAAACACAGGGAGATCTGAGACATCAATCCACCTGTGCACATGGGTCACTACTCACAGTGTGCCATTCTACTGTGTGGGGTTAGACTAAAACACAGGGAGATCTCAGACATCAATCCACCTGTGCACATGGGTCACTACTCACAGTGTGCCATTCTACTGTGTGGGGGTTAGACTAAAACACAGGAAGATCTGAGACATCAATCCACCTGTGCACATCGGTCACTACTCACAGTGTGCCATTCTACTGTGTGGGGGTTAGACTAAAACACAGGGAGATCTCAGACATCAACCCACCTGTGCACATCAGTCACTACTCACAGTGTGCTATTCTACTGTGTGGGGGTTAGACTAAAACACAGGGAGATCTCAGACATCAATCCACCTGTGCACATGGGTCACTACTCACAGTGTGCCATTCTACTGTGTGGGGGTTAGACTAAAACATGGGGAGATCTCAGACATCAATCCACCTGTGCACATCAGTCACTACTCACAGTGTGCCATTCTGCTGCATGGCTTCCTTCTATGTACACGTCCACACTGTGAACTCCATTTTTAATTTCTTCTGAGTTGTCCAAATCCCCTGACATATGCTAATCTATCATAGCTGCATTAAGTTTCAGTATAGGGTATTTATGCCAACTAAGTTTTACCATTACCCCTTTCAAAAAGAACTTGATGTGCTAGACTCCAAGCATCCAGGCTTAGGAAGAGTGGTTTGCAATTTTCCCACTCTAGAACATTATGTTCTCTCTGACCTGGTTACTTCCACATGACCTCACTACTGCGACCTCACTACTGCCAGCCCTCAACTTCTAAAGCCATATCTTATCCCCTAAAATACCCAAAAGCCACACCATAGACTTTCATCACCTCAAAAGCTCTGCCATCAATTTGAGAGACTTTATCTCCCATATAGGGGAACATCCAACATCCTAACCCAGTGACTCTGGCTCTAATCCACTTCTTGCACTTCGCCCTGTCACAAGGATTTCATTATCATGTAGAACCAGTTTATTTCCCAGGCATAATTTTTCAAACTTTTAAAATACAGTATTCATATTTCCAGTGTTTGAGCTTAGAATTTCCTGTATAAATTGGTCTTTAGTTGATACATATCAACTAAATTCTTGATTCCTCTAGTTTTTCACACATGTCAACTGCCTTCTGTCTTTCCCTTATTGGTATTCAGCCAAAGTATCAATCAAAACATACCACCCTCATCAATATTTTTTATTTGGTATCCATAATTTCTGTTCATATAGCAAAATTATATATAGCCATATATATAGCAAAATGCCATATTAAAAATCAATTCAAACCTCAGTCTGCTTCTTTCTAAAATTAAAGTTGTTGAAATCTATAGCAAATGATTCCTAACAACCAGGATTTTATTCAGTAGTTTATTCCCAAGGAAAATGGACCAAACTCAACTGGACCCTCAGACCTGTTATAAAATAGATTTGCTTTTCACTTACTAAGTACCCCCAGTGGAACTCTCAGCATTCTAGTCATCAACGCTCTATGTGGCCATTAACTAATTTGAAAGAAGATAAATGAGTTTCAGATTAAACTACTTGATTATTCACTGTTTACAGATACTTGATGTACTTTAATATTTTCTTATGTCTTCTACACGTCTACATTAACTCTCCCTCCAATTTTAACATACTCCAGTTCTCTATAAAATCTCAAGGCTATCGAAAAATCCTAAGTGTAGAGGACAAGGAAAATGGAAATTTAGAAATATTCTGAAATTATCCCTTTAAATAATGTGTTTAGATATCCAAGACTCCTATTGCACATCATTTTGAATGGGTTAAAACTGATTCCCTATTTACCTGAGTATGAAAACCTAGATCCTAATAGCACAGGACCTGGAATGTTCCTCTGAGCCAGGGGCCCCTGCACTGGCTGGTTGAGCTCCTTGTTTATGGCAACAAAAGCTGTGAAGGAGCTGAGGACTCCAGACTGAATGCTGACTTTCAACACATCTTCTTTGTCACTTTCTGAGGTCTGATGGGAGCCCAAGTCCTTGTTCTGAATCAAGGACTTTGCAGCCAGACGGTGAATGGTGAAACTGAAAGAGAATTTTCCAGAGACCTAAAGAAAACCAACTACAAAGGCAGTTCTCAAGATTCTCATCAGTTAGTGAGGGCAAAGGGAAGACAACATCATAGAGGAAGAGATGACTTGAGGGGATTAGTAAACAGAGCAGTTGGTAGGGACACACTGGAGGTCAGTGAGAAACAAGTGAGCCAAGAACAGCAAAGAAAAAGAAGGGAAGTCAGAGGGGGGGAAAGTGAGTTGGACAAGGTGGCGACTGGAGAAGGGGAGGTGGAACTGAATTCTTACCTGGGATTTGCCTTGGGCTGTAGGGAAAATCTCATCTCTTCCTCAAAACTTTTGCCCTGGAGGGTGTACTTGAGGCACACTTTTCCTGAGGCCTCTGCTTGCTACAAGTTGGAGAATAGCAGCAATGATAAAATAGACAGAAACCAGGAAAATGGTGAGAACTCAACCCAATTTAAGACTAGGAATCAGGTAGCCTAACAGCAGCAGCCTGGTAGGTATGGGAAGCTGGTCACGACGGCTCTTGCAGAAATCTAGAGCAACCTACCAGTGTTAAGGAAACTGCTGATGCACTGTCCACACAGAGTAGAGGAAATAGCAATAATGGGAACTTACAGGCATCGTCCCAGTCAGCTGGGCATAGATTATTAACCTCTGACCTCTAAAGATGACAGTCTGTTCTGGAGCACACAGGTTAGCAGACAGACCAGCAGGCAAATCCCAGCTAAGACAGATACCCTCCACTGCAGTCTGTAGACCAGACTTCAGGGATCTGAGAGCCTAATGGAGGGAGGGAGGGAAAAAGGGAGGAAGGGAGGGGGGGGGGTGGAAGGGAGGGAGGGAGGGAGGGAGAGAGTGAGAGAGACAGAGAGAGAGAGAGAGAGCAGAATGAAGCACAAGAATGATAACAATGGCTGTCACCTAATGGGTCATTATCAGGACCTAGGACACAATGCAGGTTATGACTAACCACCAATGCTCAGTGAGAAAAGCCATTGTTTCTCTTATTTTTCATGAGAGCGAGTTAAAGCTGAAAGACCTAAGGGCAGAAGTGTGAATGAAGAGAATATTTATGAAAGGAGACTGTACAGAATTTAATGAGAGAAGGCTTGGTAGCTCTGGGGAAAGAGAAGCTCAGAAATACAGGCAGAGATGTCTTCCATTTTTATAGTAAATGATGTGGAGCATCGAGTCATTAAGCCTTCCAGGATATTAGACACACCAAACTTGTTCTCCTTTCTATTGACTCTTTTCCAAGGACAATAGTTCTCTACTCAATCAGGTCTGAAAGCACACACTGGAGTCCCTCCCAGACACAGCAACCAAACATTTTCTTTCTCTGTTTCTGGTCTTCAAACAAAAGTCGCAACATCTTTCATTATCTCATTTGATTCTCAGCTACTACAGCTTGATTTCAGTCTTTAGATATTACAGCAGAGCCCTTTTCAACAAAGACACATGCTGACATACCAAGTGTACTGCCCAAGACTCATGAAAATATGTCCCCCAGGAAAGTTGGACACTTGCCTTTGCAGGTGTCACCCTCCCATCTCCCACTTTTCTGAAAGGCCACCCCTGGACACAGCCTAGTCCTCACCTTCGTCTGTATCCTGTCCTTGCCTGTGATAAACTCTGAGGAGCCCCCGATACCTGGGCAATGCCTTTTATTAAACTGCTGGAAGCACCTTCTCCAATTCCAAATGAGAAACATCTGCAACAGTAAAAAGATGAAAATTATAGATGGGTCTCAATATCATCTGTGATCAAATTACCATGGAGTGGTAAAAACCATATGAATATGTAGACTATTTCCCATAGGAGAATAAAATGCTACCATTTATAAAGGGTATGTTATTTTTAGGAACCAAAATAAATGCTTTAAATAAATGATATAATTTGGCACCATGGGTCTTCTAAGAAGCTATGTGCTATTTAATTTTACACATGAAGATCTGGGGCCCAGACAACTTAAAAAATCTATCCTAAGGTCATACTCCCACTATAGGGCAGAGATGGCAACCTGACAACATTCTTTCTGAGCACAAGATTCCACTGACAAACTATGAAAATATAAAACTATTCTATTATGAGCATCTTATTGATATAATCCTGGCTCCAAATCTGCCCTGCAAAGGCTATTCTCAGAATGAAGAAGTATATCATCTGCTATTCTAATGGGAAATTATCACTATCATCAAATTGCTATTTACTATAATTTTGTTTCTCCTATAAACCTTTATATATACAAGTATCACAGTGGTGATATTAACACAATTATTTTGGTATACATAGATTAAGTAGTTTTTTACTGTAAATGCACTGACATCTTGGCTAATAGATTACTGTACTTTGATTTTTGGTGAAAGTTAGGTATCATCCCCAAGTCCAGTGAAATCACCCTTAGTATTACTGTTCTTGTTCTGTAAGTGGGATGACCAAAGTTCATACTGTAGTTTTATTTCTTCACAATAAACCTATACAATAAGCACTGAGATTTTTAGTATTTTCAAGTGAAATACATTAGGCAGAAATATTAGATTCATTTTCAGAACAGTTTTCATGCAGAATGAGAATTTAAATAAATTAAATCCTAAAATAGTTTAACTTTATAAGACTTAAATACATGGATCAAAATAAAACACATCCTGAGCTCCACTCACAGTAATTCTAGAGTGAGTTGTTTAAGCCAGAGAGACTTAGAGACCTATAAACAGTAGTTTTAATAATTTGTTTAAAAATACCCGAATAGTAAATAACTGGTTCCAGTGCTTGCCAAGAGAATAGAACCTGGGTGCCAAGACCTGGAGAAAGAGAAGAAAAGAGAAACAAGCCTCTATCTGCTGTTCTTGAATCTTTAGAAGCATGTGTTAGGTATAAATGGATGGCTGACAATCTAAGTCATTTCAGAGGCTGGAGAAAAAAGTGTAGAGATTAAACTTTCTAAATGCCAGATGTCCCTGAAAATATGTGACATTTTAGGATAGACAAACATAGGAATATTTAACACCTAAGAGGTGGAGGTGAATTAAAAGTCTTGAAGTGAGACTCCTCTAGATGGATTAAGATTGTCAGCTCCTAGTCAGAGAAAAGAGAAGACCTCTTAGAGGAGAGATTCCATTTAAAAGCCAAATTATGTCTAGAACATTTCATATAACATATATGACTATTAAAAAAACAGGAAAAAGATCTTCACATAATATAAAACTATGCCATGAACTTTTAAGAAAGTTGGACATAGAAATAAATCTTAATAATAATTAGACTATATTTTCAAATACATCTAATGTAAAATTACATATCCAAATTTAGGATTCAGAGACAGAAATTTCTATCTCTAAAACTGTAAATTAGCAATAAAAATAAGCCTAACAATCTACTACTTATGTTAGAAATAAAAATTGAATAAACCCAAGGGATTTAAGATAAAGAAAATTGTAATATAAGAAAAGCTAATTGTGAAATAAAATTACAATACTGAGACTGAGCACAATAAAAAGGGATGGGTTTTTTTAATATTGTGAAAATTGATAATCTTCTATATCAAAGAAAAATTAGAGAAGGAACAAATTTCCAACATTGGGAATGAAGAGGCAACATCAGCACAGGGTCCACAGCATTGATCTATGTTATAAGGTGATGTCACAGACAAAAATCTTGAAAATTTAGAAGGCATATTCAATCACCCATATTAACAAGAACATATAAAAATATGAATAGTTTCAAAAACACCTGCAAAATTCCTTATGTCCAGATAGTGCACTGACCTCTTTTAATAAACACATAAGGGAGAAAAATTTTCAGAGAATAGCAAAAGGGCAGTGTTTCCATCTGAATTGTTAATGCTAGGAGAGCACAGATACCAAAAGCTCATAGTGCACCTCTGGAAAAGGAAACTCATGGGATTTTTCACTTAAAAGAGGATTCAAAATCCAAACAATAGAAGCCAACAGAATACAAAAGTGTAGAAGGAAATTGTCCATCAGAATAGACTTGGATTCATTGCAGAATGAAAAGTTGGTGTAACATCAAACAGTAGTCATCACTTGTATCATTCTCAAATTAAAATAATAAAGTATAAAGTCATGGTCCACCTCAGTAAATGAATTAAATGTATTTGATTAAAATTGAACTATCACTCATCATTCAAATACACAAATGCAGATGCTCTTGTGCATGTTTGAGCATACACACACACACACACACACACACACACACACACACAAAACCACACACACATACACACACACAATTCTGGAAAAATAAATAACGGGAAGCTTCCTTATTCCAAGTAATTTATACAGCACAGTTCTGGAATACATTTAGATCAACACATTAATGAAGAGCAAAGCCCCAGGAAGAATCCATACATGCACAAACGCTGTAACAATCTCAGCACTAAGTACATGTGAGGAAAAGGCAAACTGCCTCTAAATGATTCAAATCTAAACAAGATCCATGATAAAAATGAACTTAAGGTATACTTTATACAAGGAGCACAAAAATTTGTGGGTGCAGCCAACTAATCTCAAAATCTCAGGATCCCACTATGTCAAGAGGACTGAAAAATTGAGCCTTGGCTACGGAGACAGTTCAAAGATTGCCTGAGCATCTTAGTAGTACTGTGTCTCAGAAGGAAAGTGAATAGAAAGAGATCTCAGGACTGGGTAAAAAATAAATTGCTTGTGCTACATTTATTAATAAAAAAAATTCAGAGGAAAGATACCCTGCTTAGCTAAAAAAATATTCTTCCTTGAAGAGGCCCACTTCACAGCAGGGATGCCATACCTGGCACTGTAAGCTCACTCAAAATCCCTTGGCAGAGCCCAGAGGGGAACTTAGTTATGCTGTTTAGTTAAATTCACACAATATTGAACAACCTTCTAAATGCATGTATTTATGCATACAGACAAATATATTCTCATCCTTAATCAGAGCAGCCTTTATACAGTGAACCGAGAAATACGCAGAAAAGTGAGGCTGCACAAGCTCCTAAGAATAAGTAATGGTTGAGTGCTCAGCATTAAACAAGACATTTATATCATCCCTTCCAAGGTTCAAAGAACATATCATAAGAGGTTGCAGAACCATTGTATGAGCTGAAAGATTAAGATGTGGCTCCGAAATACCATCTTTGGGGCAACATAAAGCATATTTCATATGTGAGTTCTCAACAACTGCAGATGACTACACTGGGTCTCCACAAGAATGGGCCTATCAACACCCAGGCAAGGACAGAGGAGAGTCTCAGTGATCCTAACCCTCACTGATGACCTATTTCCTATAGATAAATTCAGGGAAACAGGGAGTCATTGACTTTGTGTGTACCCCTGGTAACCCCACCACGATCAAATGGATAATCTCAAGATATGGTCATGCTGATGGCCTGAGTAAACTACATGGGTTACACTACAAAACCAAAAGTCATGAAACTGGGAAAGGGACAGGCAGGGAGGACAGGGTTTGATAGGGATGGATGGGAGATAGGAGAGAGTAGGAGGAAAGAATAACAAGAATGAATTGCATACATGTATAAAATTGTCAAAGAACTAACTAAAAATATATACACATATATAATATATATTATAATATACATATATTAAAGACAAGATTGCTTATAAAATATAAAACATCTTCTTAAATTGAAAGGAGAAAGTATTTAGCAGGACACATAAAAAAACAGTAATCACAGAGTAAAACTTGGAAGAATTGAAATTAAAATGACTGTTAGTAAGTCAGGGATGATGGCACAGGTCTGCAATCTCAACACACTGGAGGCAGAGGCAGGAAGATTACTGCCCATCTAATATCAGTCTGTTCTAACTAGGGAGTTCGAGACCAGTCTAGACTGAACAGGGAAAATGTATCTTTAAAAAACAAAGCAGAGATGCCACCCACCTTGTCTCTATTCCATTCCTCTCACCCACCCTCACACCATCCTCTGCCAGCCTTGGGCCCAGGCAGTCTCCAATTCCTCTGCCTCAGATCTTTGGTCTGGCTTCCTAAGCCACAGTAGAGAAACATCCTAGCATAGATTGCTAAACCCTTCCTCAGGCAGTCTCACCACCCCCACTTTCCCTGACTCCCAGTCAACAGGACAGACCTCCCTACCCAGGATCTGATAACAGATCCCACTCACTGTGTCTCTATTACATTTCTCTTGCCCACCCCACCCTCTCCCCTGCCAGCTTTGGATCAGGTGGGTTCCAAGTCCTCCACCTCAGATCTCTGGACTAGCTTCCTAACCTAGAGTAGCTAAACTCCCTAGCATAGACTCCACTGGCTCCTCACCTTTCTGACACAGACCAGTCCTCCTTCTAATGTGACCAGTCTACCTACTACCATGTCCCACTATCCACCCAGACCAGTCTACTACCCTGTAAGCACCCGAAACACACACCAATTTATTTTCCATATCTGAACAAAAAGCAGTCAAGCTACATAAACAATATACACAGAACCAAAACTAAATTAAACCAAAGCAGAGTAGAAGTTCCTACAGAACAGGTAACCAACAAAGAATATCCATATGCCCAAATGCCAAAACAAAAACAAATACTATGAAAAACCAAGAGAATGTGTCCCCAGCAAAACACACCAGTCCTACAACAGTGCACTAAAATGAGAACCACCCTGAGGAACACCAGGGCACAGAATTTAAAATAACTGTCATAAACATGATCAAAGAACTTAAAGAAAACTAAAGACAAACAACTGGAAACAACAGTAGAAAGCCTCACAAGCAGAAAATAAAACAGAAAACAGAATCAAGACCGGATGATAAAATTGAAGATCTGAACTCCTTAACAAAGACTTTAAAAATTGAGAAAAAAAAAAAAAAACTACAGAAATGGAATACTCAGGAAATGTGGTATAACATTAAAAGACCAAATCTATGAATTATAGGCATATAAGAAGAAGACACATCTCAGACCAATGGCATTGAACAGATCTTCAATGGATTATAGAAGAAAACTTCCCTAAATTAAGGAAAGACTTATCTATAGAAATGCAAAAAGCACATAGAACACCAGTCAGAGATGACCAGAATAGAAACTCCCTATGGCATGTCATAGTAAAAATACTAAACGTAAAAACAAAGAGAGGATACTGAAAGCTGTTAGAGAAAAACGAGATACATATAAAGGAAAATCCATCATAATTACAGCTGACTTTTCTTTTTCATAATATTTTATTTATTTTTATGTGTATGTGTGTATTTCCTACACGTAGGTAAGTACACCTGTGCCGTGCAATGCCCGTGGAGGATAGAAGAGTCTGTCAGATCCCCTGGAACTGGAGTTACGGACAGTTGTTAGCTGCCATGTGGGTGCTGGGATTCAAACTCAGGTCTTCTGCAAGAACAGCCAGTGTTCTTAACATCTGGGTCATCTCTTCAGCCCTCACAGCTGACTTTTCAATGCAAACTATGAAATTCAGAATAGCCTGAACCAAACTATTCCTAGTTCTGAACACTATGGATGCCAACCCTGAATAATTAATCCAGCAAAACTATCTATGATGTTCAAAGGGGAACAGAAAAATTTTCATGACACAGATAGGCTGAAAGAATTTGCGTCCACCAGGCCAGTCCTACAGAGAAAACTTGAAGCAATACAAAGGACTAAAGATAAGAATGAGTATACTTAAGAGGCTACAGAAAGTACACAAGGCAGGTATAATAATGGAAACACAAATTAGGGCCACAAACACAGAGAAGTTAAAATGACAGTATCCAATACACCATTTTCAATATTGACACTAAATATCAATGGCCTCAATCCCCTATAAAGACACAGGCTAGAAGACTGGGTCAAGAAAGAAAAGCCATCTCTTTTTCGTCTTCAAGAAACTGATCGCACCTTCAAGGATAGACACTACCTTAGAGTGAAAGGATGGAAAAAAGTATTCCAAGCAAATGGCTCTAAGAAGCAAGCAGGTGTTACAATACTAGTATCTGACAAAATAGACTTCAAATTAAAACTAATCAGAAGAGATAAAGAGGGTTATTTGATTTCAATCAAAGGTAAAATTGATCAAGACAATATTACAGTCATAAATATATATGAACCAAACTAGAGTACCCTATTTCATAAAAACAGTACTCCAGGACTATACAACACAGATTAACCACAACTCAGTAATAGTAGGTAACTTTAATCCCCCACTATATTCAATAGACAGCCCAACTGGACAAAGAATAAACAGAGAGATATCTGAATTAAATGACACCTTATATGAAATGGACCTAACAGCTACAGAATATTCCACCCAAGCACCAAAGAATACACTTTCTACTTAGCAGCAGTCATGCAAGTTTTTCTAAAATTGACCACATTCTGGGAAACAAAACATATCTCAACCACAACAAGAACAACAACAACAACAACAAAAACTGAAATAATTCAATGCATTCTATCAGATCACAGTGCAATAAAACATAATCAACAGGAAAAGAAGTTCTGGTAACTACACAAACTCAAGGAGATTAAACAACACATTCCTTATTGAATATGTCAAAGAAGAAATAAAGAAAGAAATAAAAGTATTCCTAGAAATAAATGAAAGTGAGACTACAACATAGCAAAACCTCTGGGACACCTTAAAAGCAGTCCCAAGGGGCAGGTTTATAGTTCTTCGTGCCTACATTAAAAAATCAGAAAAAGCACATGTGAATAACTTAATAGTGTAACTCAGGGCATGAACAAACCAACACCAAACCTAGTAGATGAGAAGCAACAACAAAAATCAGAGCAGAAAGTAATGAAACAGAAACAAAGAAAATAATTTTTAAAATATCAATGAATCTAAGAGCTGGTTAATTTGAAAGGTTAAACAAGATAGACTGACCCTTAGCTCAGTGAGCCAAAAGAAAGAGCAAATCCAAATCAACAAAGCCAAAAATGAAAGGGAAAACATCACAATAGACACACAAAAAAAATCAGAACATTGTAAGGGAATACTTTAAAACCCTATACTCCACATTAAATTTGAATATCTAAAAGAAATGGATGAATTTCTAAAATCAAGGACACCAACAAATTAAAACAAGAAGAGTTTGACAGCTTAAACAGATCCATAGCAAATAAGAACATTGAAATAGTAATGTAAAAAACAAAACAAAACAAAAGCCCAGGCCCAGGTGGATTCACAGCAAAATTCTACCAGACATTGATAAAAGGTAGCAATAGCTGGAGAACTCCCAAACTCCTTCTATGAAGCCAGTATCACTCTAGCACCAAAACCAGGTGTGATGGTTTGAATGAGAATGTCCCCCATAGTCTCCAAGTGTTTGGACATTTTGTCCCGAAATGGTGGTGCTGTTTTGAGGGGTCTTAAAAGGTGTGGCCATGCTGGAGGAAGCAGGTCACTGGGGGTGGGCTTAGAAAGTTCTCAAGTCTTGCCAGATCTCAAGTTATTCTCTCGCTTCCTGTGCCTGATGGAAGATGTGAGCTCTCTGCTTTCTGCTCCTGTTGCAGTCACCTCCTGCCACCACGCCTCCCCAACAGACTATAATTTCCCTAGAACTGTAAGCTCAAATAAACTCTTCTTTCTATAAGTTGCTTTGGTCAGTGTTTCTAACACAGCAACAGAAAAATAACTAATATACCAGGTAAAGATAAAACAAAGACGATAATTACAGACCCACAACCTTAATGCACATAGATACAAAGACATAACAAAATACTCACAAATCGCATACAGATACACATAAAAAAGATTATCCACCATGATCATCTCAGCTTTATATCAGACATGCAGCGATGGTTCAGTTCAATATACATAAGTCAATAAATGTAATAAAACATATAAATGGACTTAAGACACAAATCACATAGTAATCTCAATAGATACAGAAAAGACCTTTGACAAAATTCAACATGCATTCATGTTAAATGTCAGAACTGATCTAGAGGGAACATGCCTCAACATAATTAAAGCTGTATAGAACAAACCCATAGCCAACATCATTCTTAATGGAGAAAAACTGGAAGCATTCCCATTTAAATCAGGAACCAGACAGGGCTGTCCACTATCTCCACTCCTTTCAATATAGTGCTTGAAACTCTTGTCAGGGCAATAAGACAAGAGAAGAAAATTAAAGGGTACCAATTGGAAAAGAAGAGGTCAAGTTATCTCTATTTTCAGATAGTATACTGTACATAAAATATCATAAAAATTCCAGTAGAAAACTGTTAGAAATGATTAATACTTTTAGTAAAGTGACAGGATACAAAATCAACTTGCCTTTATATACCACTAACAAACAATCAGAAAACGTATTCAAGGAAACTTTCCCATTCACAATAGTCTCAGAAAAATAAAATTAAATTAAAAACTTACAAATAAACCTAAACAAAAACATTAAAGATCTCTATAATGATAATTTCAAATCTTTAAAGAAAGAGTTAGAAGACAAAAGGAGATGGAAAGACCTACCATGCTCATAGATTGGTAGAATCAATATTGTGAAAATGACCATCTCACCAAACTCTATAGAGTCATTGCAGTGACAATCAAAATACCCACAACACTCTTCACAAAGCTTGAAAAAAAATCATCCTAAAATTCATATGTAATCACAAAAGACCTCAGATAGCCAAAACAATCTTCTACAAAAAAGAACAATGCTGGGGGTCACCAAACAAGATCTCAGATAATATTACATGATATGGCACCAAAATAGACACGTAGACCAACGGAATACAGCAGAAGACCCAAACATGAGTACATGCAATTTCAGTCACCTGATATTTGACAAAGGCACCAAGAACACACAACAGAGGACTGGATCTCCACCTGTAGAAGAATGAAATTGACAGTTATCTTTCATTCTGCACAAAAGTCAACTCCAAATGAATCAAAGGCCTCAATATAAAATTTGAGGTTAAGAGAACTGACTGCTCTTGCAGAGGACCTGGGTTCAATTCCCAGAACCCACATGGCAGCTACAAACCGTCTTTAACTGCAGTTCCAGGGGATTCCGAAACCCTCTTCTGACCTCCGCAGCATTGCACGACACGGGTGCACTCACATACATGCAGGCAATACATTCATACACATAAAATAAAAATAATAAATAAAATATTTTTTAAAAACCTGAAACTCTTAAACTGCTAGAAGATAATATAGGCAGGACCCTACAGGATATAGGTGTAGGAAAGGACTTTCTAAATCAGGTATCAGCTGCTCAGGCATTAAGGTTAACAATAAGTGATTCCTCATAAAATTACAAAGCTTCTGTACAGCAAAAGAAACAACCAAGGAAGGGAAGAATAAACCCACTAATTTGGAGAAAATCTTTACCAACTACGCATCCAAGAGAGGTTTAATATACAAATAACTCAAATATACAAAGAACACAAAAGAAACTAGAAAATAAATGACTCAATAAAAAGATAGGCTATAGACCCGAATAGAGCACTCTCAAACGAAGAAGAGGTGGTACCATTGTCATGATTTGGAAAACTGTTTTTAAATTTTGTGGAGGAAAATAAGTGATCAGCTGGCAAATCAGAAATCCTTTGAGTCGTGCTGTGCCTTTGGAAGCACAGCCACCCCTCATATCCTAGAGAATCTATATCTGATATAGATGAGTCCATTTAGCACACACCTGTGCTTCTTCCTGTTCAGCTTAACCTCTTTAATAACACTAAATGTGTCATTAACTTCTCCATCTGTGAAGACAAAAAGCTGTGAAGAAGAAAACATTCAACAAAATGCTGTCACTTTACATTTTAAGACATTAGCATTCACCTTGGCAGAACCCCACTGTGTGCACACCCTTGAAGACTCTTTTCAATGGACTGGGTCCCCAGGGTTCCACTGCCACTTGAACCACACTGGAACAATCTTTTCAGATCCTCACTACACTACTTTACTGGAGGCTTTTGAGGCAGTGTAAAAGAAGGGCAAGTGCCCGCCACAGGGAGTACAGGGAGAAGAAAACTGCCTGTCCTCTTTATTTCTCCTCACTTGACGGTACACAAGTGAACTGTGCACTCTGTTTACTCAGTTCTGTAAGGAGGAACTTGGAGTTCAGTCTCTCTGACCCTCTGTTAGCTCTGCTCCATGGCTTACCTGCAGGGGGTGGCC